ATGTTAAATGACAAGAGGGCACCCCCGAATTGGGACGATAAGCCCCAAAAATGGTCGATACTTGGGGGTGCCCGTGCGTTGATATGATTGAGATGGATCTCAGCTGTGTTTGGGGTCAGAAGCTAATATATGTTTATACATGTGTTGTACTTGCATAAAACTGGATACTAGTTTACATTGTTATTTATGATTATGTTGTTATGCTCATTTGTTTCTTATCACATACATATATATATATATATATACACTTGCACGTGTCATGTTCTTGCAAAGAAGATCAACGAAGCAGGGCTTGTTTGATTAAGCTATGCGCCTCAATAGCTCCTTCCCGCCGTGCCAATTGCAGTTGGACCAGTGAACTTCCTCACAGATTTACAGGTGACTCACAAGGGCGTCACAAAAAAGAACGGTGGGGAGGATCTTTTGGCAATTGTTGGTTGTAGGAGTTCACCACTTCCGCATTTGATTTGCTCCCTGGTGAAATCCTTACACAATGGTTACATCATCATTCCATGGTGTGAGAATCTGTGATAATTAAATATGTATGAGACAGGTTGGGCCCCATATAGTCCCATGAACGGAGAAAAGTTTGTTTTTTTTTTGTATCGAGTCACGGCTTCTAAAGGTATCTTGGCAGATTTTTGCAGGGTATCCAAGGTCAGCGGACCATGATGGTGACGTAGACCGGAGCCGTCTAGCAAAGCAGCTGCCGGTGACCACACTGGAAGTGGCCGTAGAAGCGCACTTACACGTAGTATACATATACATATATATATATATACATATATACATATACATATATATATATATATACATATAATATATTTATTCATTTTTTTTACATAAATAATACTTTAATGATCTTATGTGTGTGTGTGTGGTATTTTTTTTGGTACATGCACATATGCTGTCCCCATGGGGTAAACGTATCTTTCCTTCGGGTCAACCCGGCACAGGAGTCACATGACAAAAGCTGGGAGGAGGCGCAGGGCTTCGCTTCCAGGGCATAGCCCACCCCGCACCGAAAGCGGCAGGGATTGACATGGGAAAATGCACTATAAATCTATGAATCGAGATTTAATATGATTCAAGAATGAGCCTGAAATCGTGGTGAATGTAGAAATCATCCCCAGGTGAAAGGCCTTAATTCAGAGTAATTCACCATACTTCACCCAGAATGGTGATATATGTATGGATACTATAATAGATATAGAATGGTATAGAACTTTAGCGATGTAGAAGTATGTGCACTGTGACATAATATGTAGATATGTATGTATATAACTGTGTATGTATATATATATATATGTATATATGTAACACGTGCAGGGTTTAGAAATATAGTATTGGTTTTGTGGCAGCTTGAACAGTGAATGGAAAGTTTGCAGAAGCATATTTTTGCGCAGAGAATAAAAACTGGTACGTCGCAGGATCTTCTAAGGATTAATCAACATTCCTGCGCCGTCTTATATTCTCGGCTAGAGGTTATTACAGTTGTGAACAAGATCCAATATGAAGTTGGTTTTTTATTGACATCTTTTCCATTTCAGCTTGCCAAGTCACAACGGAAAGGAAATTCCCCAGCCCCCAAGAGATGATCTTCCTGCTGACGGCACTGGAGATGTCGGACAGAGATTCGCTGTTTGTGTTCATGAACAATTCGAGTTATCATACATGAGGATATGAAGGTCAATTCGTCATGTTTATTCATTTTTACTTCTGCTCACATCTCATCATTTCCGCTTAAATCACCTTGAAGCTTCATCAAATGGGTGTGGATTAAGAATTATTGCCCCAGAAAACATCAGGATGGCTGGACAAGAATTGACCAGGTTTATTTGCCAGGCTGTGAGCTTTTGGACGGTCAGCTTCGCACATGAGTTGGCGCACTTTGAGTCGCCGCTGCACGACAGGCGCGACAGAGTGGCGGGGCGAGGCAGTTCCAGCAGTGGGGGAAGGCGGTGATGATGATGAATTCCTGCCGTGATATTATTCGATATTCTTGATAAGAACTGTGAGGAAAAATCGCTACTATGTGTTTTATGATGTGTTTGATACTTTAAGGTAGTTAAACTTAGTTTGATTATTTTTTGTTACATAAATTATTTTGATCATTCTGTTTATGATGCAGCAATGGATGCAGAAATGGTGATGATGATGGCGTTCACCTTGGGGTGGACACCCCTTCTGAAACATTGACCAATTTATGCCCGATATACCATGCCCAATCCAACCCAGTTTACCGATTGGGGGTATCCTACATAATTGATGCTTCCGATCCTGAACTTATTTTGTGGTTATAAGTTATATCATGTTTTAGTCAGAAGTGGAAGAAGGGAAGAGTTGCATGAAACCTTGCAACAAAATTGGTGTAGATCAAAATTGGGCACCCCAGTAATTGGATTGTTACTAAACACACACTAATCATCCCCAAATGTTGGGAAACAAACAGATAGTTCCCTTCCAGATTCGTCGCCCCATATCTCCCATCGGCACAGCACGAGGCAACACGGTCGTGCCATGGAGATGTCTCAGCGCGCCATTCTGCCACGCTTTCCGTGGAGAATCCCAGCAGTCCCAGTATGGCGAGATAGTAAGATGTGGCAACTAATCTTCCCCCAACTTATGGCCGGGTCTATGTTAATTGACGGCGAGCGTTAAGAACCCGGTATGGCAGTATGGCTCATAGTTTTGCATTTTTTTGAGTTTTGATATAGAATGTGTGTGTGTGTATGTGTTGGTTTATTAGCGCCAGTATGTTGATGTTGCTGATGAATCATCGGTAGTAATCAGTGTTATTGATTTAGTTTTCCAGGATGATTGTGCATTGCAATGTGCATATATCGAATGTTTATCATATATACAAGCCGTAGGCTTGATGATGATGATGATGATGATGGTGGTGGTGGTGGTGTTGGTGGTGGTGGTGGTGGTGGTGGTGGTGGTCAGGCATGGCGTGATTTTGAGAGCTTTGGTGATGTTGGTGACAATGATTTGATAAGATTGATAACGAACAATCAGACTATTAAAGACCTTTTCTTGGTGATTGCTTTAGCCGCACCCCTCAGATAGAAGAACTATATACAATTCCCCGAAAAAGATGCAGAAAATAACATGTGACCTGTCAGTTGACTGACTTATTTGTTTTTCTTGCCATGATCATGAATGATGAACGATGAAAGATAAATGATGAAAGATGAATGATGAATGATGAATGATTAATGATGAATGATGACTGATGAATGATGAATGATGAATGATGAATGATGAATGAATCATCACCATCATCATCATCATCATGAAACCATCTCATAGAGATATCGTAACTCCTTGTGTAATTCTGCTCTCCCGAGGCAAGTGCTGGCACGTCCTTGGGGAGCCGCCTGGGTCCTAGCAATCGGGATATGATGATTCAAGTTGGATCCCCATAGTTTGTTGGATAAACCCCATGTATAGATGATAATATGGCAACATCATTATTTTTGAAACGTCTTTGGAGGAGTTCGCACGGGGTACCACCACCCAGAAATCTCGTAGCCACTGGGGCCTGGAAATGCCACTTGAAGACGGGGGTCAATTGAGTCTGCAGCTGCTAGTTTTCTGATGTTCAGCCCATTTGATGGCATTTCAACTGCGGCAAATTGATTGGAGATGTCTCGCAGGCCCCTGGCACTCAGAATGCCGTGCACCGCACCTGGCATTTCCGCACGGTGTGGAGGGGTGGGTGACATGGGCGGTGGGTATTTGTTTGTGTGTGTGTTGCTGCGTACTGGACTGGAATGAAATATAATGTAATGCAATGTAGCGCAACAAGTGCAATGTATTCCAAGTAATGTAATGTCATATGATGACTATGATGTGATGTGATGTATGTTGTGGGGTATCATAATAAGCTGAATTGTGCTGCATGTGCAATGTATTTGTTTATTTTCCATCCCTTGGGGTGACCTGGACTTGGCAATGGGGCCATTCTTTCCGCATCAAAGCTGTTTGCATTGAAGGGATGTCATTGTTTCTATTTGCGGTTTACATGGTTTACAACAATCAAAGGCTCAAAGGTTTGATGATTTTGACGGTCATACTGTAACCCAAACAATGCCTCTCCCAATTTCGCAAGCACAGTGGGAGGGAACATATTATAGAGACTCTGGCGAAAGTACTGTGCAGTGTTTTGATTTGAATATTTCCCTTCCATAATCAATCAAACATTTATAGTGGATTTACCCATTGAAAATGGTGATTTTCCAAAGTTATGTTAGTTTACCAGAGGGCTCTATATATCATCATATTGTATATATGGCTACTGTATTACCCATGCGATAGAAAAGCTATGAACCAACCGTGAAATAGCAGGACAGCGGCCTCATGTGACGGCCTCGCGAGGATTGGCTGCGAGAAAAAGTTTCCAAGTGTGTGGGATTGGCCCAACATTTTTTCACGCGAATTGGGGATGATAAAATTAACAAGGTCTGTAAAATTGAGGATGGTTTCCGGTAGCAGTAGCATGAAATAGCATGAATATCTAAGAACTCCCGAATTTGCTGGTCATTTCGGATAATTTTACTGAACAGATCTTTGAACACAAGCATCCAGACATATCATGACATTTCCAGACTTTCAGGTTTCAGATAGACTGCACCAGACTTATCGAAAGAATAGACAAAAATATCAGTAAAATAAACATATATATTTCAGATTATCCAGATATATCCAAACCTATCTACTTCAAGCAAAGATCTTGCTGTCAGATCTTCCAGACAGACCGTTCGGACCGTTAGGACCAGGGCCACAAACCTCGCTGTATCATGGCTCCAGCGGGCGCTGAGCATTTGGTTGGACAACTGACATTCATCCAAACAAGACATGCAAAGATTTGGGTTCATCCAACATTTATCATCATGTATCCAACATTCATCAAGCCCAAAAAGGACATGATGAGTATGATCCTTGATGATCATTGCTTTGTTTCCTGTTTCTTGTTGATCCCGGTGAGGATTTAAGTCACCAGCGCCCAGTTTCACCCTATGGAATTTGCAGGCTGACTTGCGGCTGTGCGGGACGTGGTCTCGAGTGGCTTTTCATAGGGGTTCATAGCTTCATAGGTAAGGTTGTGTTTTTTCCATAGAAGCATGCCATGGAAACAAGATGCAGCCCACGAACCCGAATGCTCACACGTATGTTAATGGTACAGATGTCGAAACACATGGATATGCAGTCACGCAGAACACTTTTCTGCAATAGTTTATTTGAACAGTCTTGTACATATTTCCCCTGTTACCAGTCTGCAGTGTGGAGTGGAAAGTGTAGAGTGTGGAGTGTGGAGTGTAAAGTAAGGAGTGTGGAGTGTAAAGTGTGGAGTCGGGAGTGTAGAGTGTGTAAAGTGTAGAGTGTGGAATGTAGAGTGTAAATGTAGAGTGTAAAGTGTAGAGTGTGAAGTGTGGAGTGTAAAGTGTGGAGTGTAAAGTGTGGAGTGTAGAGTGTGGAGTGTGGAGTGTAGAGTGTGGAGTGAGGAGTGTAAAGTGTGGAGTGAGGAGTGCACAGTGTAAAGTGTAAAACTTGGAGTGTAGAGTGCAAAGTGTGGAGTGTAAAGTGTAGAGTCAGAGTGCAGAGTGTGGAGTGTAAAGTGGGAAGTGTGGAGTGTGGAGTGCAAAGTGTGGAGTGAGGAGTGTAAAATGTAAAGTGTTGAGTGAGGAGTGAAAAATGTAGAGTGTGGAGT